AATGATGATGATCTATAAATAATATAAAATAATTAATAAAAAAAATAATTGATAATGTAAATAAAAATGAATATAACATAAATAAACATAAATTTACGAAACTAAATAAACAAAATAAATTATTAGCATATTTTTATCTAACAATTTTTTTAGAATTAAATAAATCTTTATCTATCTAAAAATTTGTTAAAGATCATAACTACAAAGAATTATTTCAGTATCATTTCTTATTAAATATCCTACGAATTTTCCAAATAATTTTCAAATATATTCAGATATTTGAGAATCGAAAAAATCCAATATGCAAATATATTCGCATAAATTTGTGAATTTATTCGAATTTTTTCTAAACCAAAAAATATCCAGATATATTTGCTTCCAAAAATTTCCTGATGCGGTGAATATATCCAGATATATTTGAGAATCAAAAAAATCTGAATATATGTGAATATATTCACATAAATTCACAAATTTATTTAGATTTTTTCTAAATCGAAAAATATCTGAATATATTTGTTCCAAATATTTGAGAATCGAAAAAATTCAAATAAATTCGTGAATTTATGTGAATATATTCACATATATTTGAATTTTTTTGATTCTCAAATATATCTAGATATATTTGCCCCCAAAAATTTCCTGATGAAACTAAGTATATCTGATCTCAGTCAATATATCTCTGAGTTTCTCAAAAACCTTACAGATAATAGAAAAAGGAATTAGACACGAGGATGTCTTCAGAATGGTTTTAAATTTAGCAATGAGTAGATAAGTATATTGATAAATTTAGTTGAAGGTAATTGTAGAATAGTTATAGCATCATTCCCAAAAAATCTAGAAGAAGAAATTATCAGAGAGATAGCAAAACGAATCTTACAAAATAGATATGGGTTTAGTGAAGATCAAGTGAATAGCTTATTTTCAATCTAGAAAAATAGAAGTAGTCACAATTTAACTGTCTTAAATAAAAACGTAAATATGTGCCTTGGCACTATTGCGATTTTTAACAAACCCTCGAAAAGAATGAAGAAGAAACTATTGAGAATATGGTGCAACAGATTTTACGAGATAAACTTAGTATTAGAGATATAAGAGCTGAAGCTTATGCCTTAGTCCTATTGGCATTAAATACTAATGCTGGTTTGTCACGTCTTTCACAGCTTCAGAGAGAATTAAGAAATATTGGTGCTTCATCTCAGATTATCGAGGTCACGAAATTTTTAGATATTATAGAAAATACTAACAAAATCCAAAAGAACAATCAGAAAAAAGCTGAAGTTAATTGTATTAATTATCCAGATGAATTTACATTAGAATCGGTCAAAGAAAGGTTAGATGCATATGATTTAAAAACTCTGCTCAATTATTGAACTCTTGCTGATGTCATGGTGATGCTTTGTATTCGTCCTGTTGAACTTACAACTTTACGTATTATATATGTCAGAGTAATAGGTTACACAAAGAATAAGGATCAACTAGATATTCCTAGAAAATTTAGATTTATGAAAAAGAATCAAGAATGAACTAAAAAATTATTAATCTGAATACAGAATGTCATATCTTCCAGTCGAATGGGTGATCAAGATAAGCCAGGAGTTAAATGGTTCAATAGATTCTTAAAAGATTATGATTTAATTCTTAAATATTTATATAAATTAGGAGCAGTTTACAGTACTGTAATACATAAAGCTGAGAATCCAGTTTACGCCTATACTATTACTGGAGAATGTTTATATCATAATTTAGATAAACATACTTCTTCAGTACAAAATTATGTCGTGATAAACTACAGGAAGTGAGGACAAAAGCCTGAAGAAATGAGACCATTTCATCTCTATAATGATGATAACTAATCATACTTCTTTGCTTTCTCCACATTCACAGTAAAATCTTTATCATCATTGTTGGAGATAGTTACTTTGTAACTAGATGATTTAGAGTTGAACCCAGATAAAGGCAAGGATGAGGACTCAGATGTGATATCATTTAAAATTTTCTTTTTTCTTTTAGCCTTACATGGTATATAGTTTCTTCGAGAAATATCTATATTTACTATTAAGTCAATAATCTCTAGCTTAATTTTGAATTTCACTATTTTCAATAATTGGTGAAGAGAAATCGAAATTCTTCTATATGATATCTGTTTAACAATTTTAGATACTAGTTTCAAGGTATTATTGCTGGAGGCAACTATTTCACAGCTATTATTAACTATTAGATTTAAATTGATTTATTATTAATATATAGAAAAAATATAATTAAATATATTATCATAATAAAATATAATGATAACTTTATCCTGCGAAATTAATAAAGTACCAGTTATAACTATATTAGGTTCCGTTGCTAATTGTAATATTATAGCTAAGGAAGTGATAAATAAATTAGGTTCCACCTTCCTATGACTCATCACTTGAAGATAGATATTTTTAATTAACTCTATATAAGATAACTGTTAATCTTTTTTGAATTTGAGAGAAAAAAGGATGAAAACAAGTAAAAATTATCAATGTTTTTGTTACTAATAAATTTGAATTTGATTCTGTACTAATATTAGGTTAGCTGTGGTTCCAGGAAAATGCAATAAAATTGGACTTTCCAAATAAAACTCTTACATTACTTGATGAAACTAGTTATGAGGTTAAATGTAATTGAGAATATCTAGAAAATGCATAGTATATATGCCTAAAAATAATTATCCGAACATTAGTTATTTTTTCTGATTAAAGATATATAATATACATTACTTGGGAATGTCACAACTATTGCAAAGCAATGATCCAAAGGGTCTAAATATTTTTGATTTACTGGAATTACTAGAACAGATCTTATATTTTTTAGAAATCGATCGATCCTTTTATCCCGCTTTATTTGTTAACCACCTTTGGTATCACTGCGGTGCTCCTATTTTATGGTGTCGCATTGAGTTTTTCAACAAAGATTATCAACAGGATCAGTGTGAAAAAAATACATCTGGACCTCTTTATTGGTGATTGATGAAGTTTAAAAGAGTTATGTGTAGAAAGACAAAGTCTCTTTATTGTTCAAAGATGGTATATCTCAGATTGGAAGGTTTAAAAATCAAAAATATATTAATTAGTGTGATTCTATACTCATGTCCAGATCATACATGTTTCCAAAATTGATTTCTGATTTTTGAGACATTTCATCTTTTTGAAATTTACTCAAAATCTATTCTATATATGGAAGTAAAAAAAAATACCTAGTTAAGTGTATCTTTAATCAAAGAATTTATTTGGATAGTCAAAAAATTTTGAATTTTAAGTAAAATAATTTCATCTTCTATGAAAAATTATTTTAACTTTTTTTCCCGAAATTGCAATTTCGGGATCCAAAATAATTTTGTGTGCAAGTATAGTCCAGATATACGCACTTTCATTCTTGATCGAAGTGATAGTTTCTCTAACATAACAATTATAAAAATTACAAGATATTGCCCAAAGCTATTACATTTGAGTTTTAATTCATGTATATATCTCACTAATCATTGTATCACTGAAATAATGTGTTCATGCCAGAAACTTAGACATCTTGAGCTTGGTGATTGTTCGATTAGTAATAAAGCTGTCAAGGAAATAGCTCGCAATTGTACTAATTTGAAATATCTTAGTTTGGAGGGATGTAAATGGATTGGTGAAGAAGTGATGAAAAAACTTAATTCAAAAATTAAAATCAAACATCCAGATTATTCTGATGATGAATTCTCAGATTCTGATCTACCTCCACTTATTCCAGATCCATTAAGGGTATCTTGAAGCATTATCTTTACCAGTGGACCTAATAGAATGGTTTTAACCAATACATTAATTGTAACAAATCTTATTTCTGCAATTAGAGTATCATCAGAATTGACTGATTCAGAATGAATTAATTTGTTAAATAGTCTTGCTTGAGCCATTAATCAATGATTACATCAATCACAACAAGGGCTTTAGGCAGATAATTAATTATTAGTTATTTTTTTGGCTATAATATATAATATAATTATTTTACCAATGTTCATAAATACCCTTGTCGAAGGAAAAATCCCAGTAAAAGCATTAATTGATACATCGTCGAAGTTTAATACCATTAGCAAGAGCTTGTTCGATAAGCTTAAAGAAGATTATGGAATACGTGATCCTGTTGAGAATCTCTATGGGGATGTAATAGGTGAAATAAAATGCTTAGATTTGCAATTTTGCTATAAAGGAAAGTGGTGAAGCTTAGATTTCACTGAAGTAATAGACTTTCAAATTTGCAAAAATCCATTGTTCAATCTAGTGTTAGGACAAGATTGGTTATGGATGCGTGAAGCAAAAATTATCTTTGGATTTTCTCTGGAAAATTGTAAGCGCGTTATGCTAAAATTGAGATAGACGGTAAGAGTATCCCATTAATCGATGAAGATTTTTAACAAAGCCAGCTCTAGTAAAAATAACTCATCTAGCCATAAAGTGACTGCTTCCAGCAATTTCAGGTCCGTTAGGGATAACTCTTCTCGCCATCTATCTGCAAAAGATATTGAATGTGCAATTAAAACTGCAATAGATCCCCTTTCTTCCGATCTCCACAAATCCCAACATTGTCACCGAAAAAAGAAAAAATATGGAAAGGCCAAAATCATCAAAACTGTTTTAATATCTGAATCCGATTCTTCTGATAGTGATTCAGCTATAAGCTGGCACACAGTACCAAGTAATTCTTCCCACATCTAGTTCAGAATCGTATAAGACTGTGGCTGTTATACACCCGAAGCGGTGTCACAAAGTAAAAAGAAAATTGCCAGATGCAGTCATAAGAAATAAATTAATCTGATGAGTTTTTTAATTGACGTATAAAGCACGATCAGTCTGTAGGGCGTCTCTCTGAGTCATGATAATCTGATTTTTTACGTTGCACGTTCTCATGCCCGTGATGTGTATTCGAGATGCAGGGTCGAGCGATATTTATTCCGAAATAGGCCCTTATTGCATCTAAGTCAAGTAACAAACAAAATATCGAGTGATACATGGAAATTGTAAATTATCGGCGATACATATCACCCGATGCACAATAATCGACATAAATAATACGAAATCGCCATGTATTATGATTTATTGCCTCGATTTAGTACGAGATGTAAAGAACCAATGCTATGGATCGTTGATGCTAGGTTTTAATGTATAAAAACATGTCGAAATCGCAGGATGTGTGGGTAAGAAATCAAGTTGCCAAATCAATCATTAAACAATCGCGCAATCGCACCTCATTCAAACCGTCAATTAATCAATTGCGAAATAAATAACCACGAAAAATGCAACTCAGTATTCCCGATAATTTTTAATTTGCAATTCTCCTTATACACAAACTAAGGCCTAATGCTTAAGATATAAATTTAATGAGCAATTAGTAAAACAATTTGTCTTGTTCAAATTGCTAATTTTTCAAGTACCCCCAGAATATCTTTTGCCTTCTTCTTTATTTTTTCGTAGTCAAGTTCATAATTGTCTTCCGGCTTCACTTCATCTCTTCCTTCAAACGATAATGGAATGTAACCTTCAGCCAGTTCAAAAAAATCCGCAATCTGGTTATATACTTCATCACCATAACTGTTTTTATCATCCAAGTAAACTTCTAAAAATCGGTTAAGTAAATCATCCCTTTCAACTTCCGAGTTGGCAATTTCATCAAGGATGTCTTCATATACTGTAAGTACGACTGCACGTAATTTGAATGGTGGGTGTGTTACATGGTTGTATTGAGCATCACTTAGTTTCCATCCAGACCATAGTTGATAATCTTTATCTCCTCCACGGTAAATTATAACACAGTTATGAGATACAGAGTCAACTATAAGGTACGCGTCTTGATTCTTATAGGTTCCACTATAAACATTGTTTACGTTTCTGTGAACAAACTCTTGAAGGGTTCTCTGAAGTTTCTCCTTGTTTTGATCATTCCAATGGTCATTTTCGGTAAATCCCCAATGTTTTTTGTGTCTAGCAAATATATGTTGCAATCCCCTAAGTATATAATTAATCTGATTTATATCAATGTATATAAATACAGGATTGTATACATTGGCATATGAATAAGTTTTATATTCTCCGCGAACTTCATAGGTGTTTAGCCTGATCTGATTCATTCCAGAAACAGTTCCAAACCAATGACTTCCAGAATATACATATCGACCGTCAGGAAGAGTCGAACGGTTGCTATGATTACTTATATAGAACCAATGCCCATCGAGCCATTCTCTATTTGATTTGCTATCGTCTTCATATAATCCAATCCAGTCCCATGTAGATGGCGTAATAATTGACCAAGTAAACTCTAATCTTCCAGAGTTTATTATACAACTTAAGTAACATATTTCTCTTCTTTCGGTTTGCGACATTATGTAAGTTTCTTCAGAGTAAAAAAATAAGTTTGGTTGGATCGCGAGTTAGTCAATCAGATGAATTTATAGTAACAATCAGCAGGTCACACGATAGGCTTATATCCTGCTTAAGTTATTTGATTTTAGGTTTGTGATTACCAGTAATTTATTTTTTGATTAGCACGGAATGTAAAGAACCAATGTCACAGATTGTTGATACAAGTGTAAATCCGTAAATTACTTTAACTACAATTTCTACATATAATAATGAAACTAGCTCCATTATGATCGCTGACAATTTATTATCTTGAATTAGAATAAAAATTAAAGAACCAATAATATGTAAAGTTATTATTTTTCAGTATGTATAAAACAATTGAAATCGCAGGATGTGTAGGTAGTGGAGCTAGTGTCTTTGACACATAAGAAAATATTATCAAATTATCGATTATACAATAAAATCTGTTAAAGACACATAATAATCAATCAAGCAATTATTCCTGATTAAAATGCAATTCAACGTACTCGATATTATTTTATTTGTGATTTTCATTGCCATAATCGTGACCTATGAATTATATCATCAGGACGTCTTGACAATGGAAATACTTTATACAATTGTTTAGGGAAATATATCAGTATATACCACCCTCGCAATTCTGTTTATATTTATTTGAAAAAACGTATCTCCAGCCTCAACCCCAGATCCTATTATGATAGATCCAGTTATGCAAAAATTTAAACAAGATATTTTGGCTTTACAAAACAAAATTGCACAAATGAAAATTGAAGCGGAATGGAAGTCTGAAGTCCAAAGTAGAGATTTGTGAACAATTGTAAATTTAATACCCCATATTTTATTTAAAGCAAAACTTATTACTTGTATATCTGTATTCTATAATTAGGGCAAGTATCCATGCAAAGTTTCAGATCCGAATATCTTACCGAAGTCAAAACTCTCTGGGTCGAATTTATAGCCATATTTAATGAGAAAAGAAAGAGAAAAAAACATTCTCCCACAAAAATGTACATTGTCCTGTTTGAAGAAATAGGTTTCAGCCCATTCACACTTGCAAAATTCTATCAACATCAAAAATCTTCACAACACATATCATTGGATAAAATCGAAGCTTAGCTCGATAAACAAAATCAGGAAAAAAGATAACTCCGTTGTAATTAGTGATAATAGTAGAAATAATTTTTCTGGTAGCAGTAATATATTATTTGGTCATGCTAGCTTCGCTGATAACAGTAACAATGATGATGAGAACGATAAATAATGTGGAGTAGAGAAAGAAACTCTTATTTCATAGGTTAGGACTTGAGATACTCCTCTCTCTTTGTCCTTACTTCACGAATAATTTACAAGTCGGCCTTTATTATAGAGCAATGACCTTTTGGATCTACATGTAATTCGTAGTAAAAATAATTTTACAAATATATAACATAAAACCAATATTTTTATTAATGACTTATAAACAAAATCGAATATGTGAAAGCTGTGGGTATAGATTTTCAACTTCCAAAAACTTAGAACATATTATGTTAGCATAAGAAATCCATGTTATCCACAAGATTTTCCAAATCAAAATTCAATTCCTCAACTTGATTCAGAAATAGAATATCTCAATACATTGGGATTATTTGATCCCACAGAAATTACTGAGTCTATTCCATCTCCAGAAGCTGAAAGAGAATATCTCAAAGTATTAGAAATATTAGAACCTATTTTACAATTTCATCAAATAAATATTATTAGTTTGGGATGTAAATTATTAGATGATTATTATCAAGTTGAGATAGGAAAAGAAAGCATATATGTATAAGATCCAATCAAAACTCTTGGAATACTTAGGGAGCAAATAATAAATATTTTTAATAACCAATTTGATCTTAATTATAGGTTCAAAACTCAATTATGTCTCACAGAAAAAATGAGTTGATCAACAAATTATCAGTAAGAATTATTTGAAGATGGAATATTTGCAGAAGAAAATAATAATGAAAAAGATTATAAAGAAGTTTCGTTCAAAAATAAAGCAGTAGTAGTAACTGTTAAAAAAGATATCCCAGAAATTGTAAATGAGTTTATTTGGGATATTGAAAATCGAATAGAAGTATATATTCGTGAAGGCTCAAGTTGGTATTATAAAGAATCAGGAGAAGTAAATATTGAAATACTAATTTATATCCCTTTAACAGCTAGTTTACATCTTCTTTTACCCAAAGGAATATCAAAACGAAACAATGGAATTATTAATATCCAAAATGAGGATGATCGATGCTTTGAATATTGTAATCTTGCAAAATTATATCTAGCACAATATTATCAAGAACGAGTTTCCTGGTATACTCCTACTTAAGTAAGTTAGATTTCAATGGGATTCAATTTCCAGTAAGAGCTGACAATAATACAATGGAAAAATTTGAAAAACAGAATCCCAATATATCTATATCAATTTATGGATGGAGTGAAAAAGAACTTATATCAAAAAGAATTGCACCTAAATCTAAAGTACATGATAGATGCAATCATAAAAAAGGGAATTGTCAACCACATAAGTTAATTTGAGTTTTATTAATAACAGGAGATAATTCAAAGACAGGTGAACCAGCTTAACATTATTGCTTGATCTAAGGAAAAGATGAGTTAGGAAAATTAGCTGGATATATAACTAAACACAATAGTAAGTTATATGTTTTGACTATTGTATAAGTCACTGAACCCATGATCCCAAGATTGATATACAACACATGGAAAATTGCGAAGGAATTAATACTCTAGCACAAAGAACAGTAATGTCAGAAGAAGGTAAGAATATATATAAATTCAGAAGATATAAACGAATGTTAGATGTTCCTTTTGTTTGTATAGCTGATATAGAGACTCTTGTTATCCAAATTGAAAAGAATCAAGGATCGAAAACAACAGTAATCCAAGAACACAAAGTTATATCATTTGATTATATAATTAGATGTAGTGATGGCAAAACCAAAGTACATTCCCCTGCCAAAAGTATCTGATCACTTAAAAATTTGTATTTTTTAAGTAAATTTTTATTTGCTAATAACTCATGATCTAATTTATTAAATTGGGTCAAAATTTTTTTTATTT